GACCAGAAGATTATCTCCCTCTGAATATGATTTGGAAGACTTCATTCCCTTGGGCTGCTCAGAAAGTGCCAGCCCTGACTGAGATTTCAGTCTGGGGTTGTTTTCTTAAAATATACCAGGAAGAAAATGGTGGAACTGCTTTGGGTTTCTCCTTATGTTCTTTAGAAATTGGCTCAGAAATGGAATTGGACAATTCTGGTCTAATGGAAGCTAATTTCTTACTGAAGGCAATGCAGACAGATCTCCTTTGTAGGTTCTGTATAACAAAATAACTCACAAACTCACCCTTTCTGTCTTCTTAGCAGAAGTCTGAAGCCTAAAGGGTATGGAAATTGCTTAAAATTACAAGCAGCACACTGAAATGGGAGATAGCACTCCCCATCCTTGGGTGCCTCTGTTTACTACCCTATATTGCAGAGCATTACTAGTGATATCCGGGGTCTCTCCTACCAGTGGGAAAAAAGCGTGTTTTGTTGATGCTTCATTACAATAACTCCTTGTTCCTGCCAAAATGAGTCTTCAACCTAAACACGCTGGGGAAATAGTTTGTTACTGCAGTGGGAAGAATTTTTAAATAAACAAGTCAAAGAAACTGAATGGGATTTGTTGCACTGCGTGCTCTGCCGTGTCCCAGCAGCGTATCTCTGGTCGATGTTTTATACCTTTGTGGTCTGGGAGTTTGCCATGAGGCCGTTAATAAAGTTGCCCTGCTGTATGCTTCTTCAGTTCCACCTGATTTCCTCGTGTGTTGCTGCTCAAGAGCCTGGAGAACCATCCCCATCCTCGCCTCCCTGCAGGCTGTGTCCCTTGGAGCAGTGCCACTCTGTGGTCAGGATGAGGATTTGGGGTTTGCTGCCTGCAGTCTCACCCATGGGTGAATTTATTCCCCTGCTTTGCACTGGGTTTGGGTGATGGGACTGGTTTTGTTCCCTCAACTTGGCTCAGCCCAGCCCTCAGCACAACTGGAACCAGTTGGCACCGACCCCTCTCTGAGCACCGAATGCTGAGCAGAGAGGAGCCAAACTTTGGGAGAAACGCTTTGCTTGCAAGCAGCCAAAGCTCAGCAAAATGGATCTGCACAAGGACTCACACAGCTCCTTGCTGCTCCTTTTGGGGCAGCACAGGTGAGCAGTGTGTGCAGATGTGGGGTGAGTCCCCAGTGCTGAAGGTGTCGTTCCATGGGATGGAAATGGGGCCAGGCTGAAATTCCTGTACTCAGTGAGAAAAGCTGTTTCTTTCGGCACCACGGTGGCTATGAGACCATTAAAGCCTGGGAGATGCTGTGCCCGTGGCAAACCCTACCCTGTCATCTCAGCCCCCTGCATGAGTGCAGTGCTCAGGCTGGGTGTGTGGTTCTACAGCACACGTGGCATTAATGCAGGGAGGGAAGCTCCCCGTGTGCCCAGCAGAGCCGTGCTATCAGCCTGGCACACCCAGCTCACCTTTTTCATGGCACAACTGAGGGAGTGAAATGCAAAAAGGAATCCCCTGGAGTGAATGGAAACAAAGGGCCAAAGAAATGCCTTGCCCAGATGGTTTTTGGGCAGCGGAGGCTGCTGCTTGCTGTCATTTGCATGGCTCTGTGATGCCCAATTGGGAATGGAAGCTCTGTCTCTGCTATAGAATTGTGTGCAGCGATGATCTGGGAACGGGGATGTGGGAGGTGTGGCTGCTGCTCTCCCACATCGCAGAACAATGCTCACTGCTGGGGAGATGGGGATCTGCACCCTTCAGGTGCTTCGTGTCTCTGCGAGGCCACGGGGATGGATGCACCTCATGTTTTTGGCTCATTCCTTGGGTCTGGTCTGGGTCTGGTCGGAATGTAACCTCTATTTATTAAATTAGTGCAAAGCCAGGTGTGTCCTGAGCCTCCTGTTGCATTCAGGAGCTGTAATTCAGGAACAGTTTTGCAGTGGGTGAGGTGTTTACATTTCCAGAAGGAGACAGGTGTGACCCAGCGCCCACCGCAACACCGAGAAGGATTTTGTTTTGGCCTCTTGTTTTGCAGCAGTGATTAAGATGGATAATGAGCACCTGAAATGGGCATCAGTCCTGAGCTAAGGGTGTTCCTGGGAGCTGAGAGCTGGGAACATGCCTGGTGCGAGTGCTGGAGTGGCCCCAGCAGCTGCTATAGGTCCTGGAGGAGCTGTGAACTGGGACTCAGAGGACATGGAGCACTGCAGGCTGTTGAGTTCTGCAAAGAGAGGAGTCAAGGGGAAGATGGAGCCCAACAGGGAGCAAAAGAATTGCAGAGGGAATCCCTCTTTGGATGTGTGAGTCCTCTGATCCAAAGAGAGGCACCTCTTCGTTCACCCCCTGGGGAAGGGTGATGCCAAGTTTCCCCTCCCAGCCTGTTTGTCCCTGCCATTGTGATCAGGGCAGGGATACAACGCAGGATCACATCCATCTCTCTGCACACAGCTGTGTGATTAATTACAGCCTCCCACAGTACAGCTCAAAGCCCTTTGCTGCTCTTAAAATCAGACATCAATGCCTCTGCCCCCATGCCAGCACATTAATGGCTGGACAGGATGCTCCATGCAAATGCCTTACACATCTTAAAGACTTCCAGCTGATTTCATGGTCAGTAGGGTTTGCTTTTTTCCCTACCAACTGGAATACAATAAAATCTGGCTGCTTTCTGAACATAAAGCAGCGAAATGGTTTTTTTCCTTCTTCCAGCTTTGCTGGTGTCTGTGCAATGTACATCCAGGCTATCTGCTGCAGCTCAGGGTGCTTCAACCTCTTCCTCCTGCTTTCTGTGGGATAAAATGCATTAACATTTATGTGCATTTATAATATTTAAGTATATTTTATAATGCAATTTATCTGATTCTCTAAGCCAGTGCTCCTTTGAGTGTTTCTGCTGCTCTGCTTGCTCTCAGCCCTTCTGTTTCTCCCCTCCTCTGATGCTCTCTTTCCAGCAGCAACCAGGATGTGGCTGTGGATGTGTGTTGCTGTAACAATGGCACTGAGAGCTTTGGAGATGCATGCTGTCCCCAGGCAGCAGAGGGTTTTACAAAGGAGGTAAGTTCTGTTATTCTCTATGGGGAAATTGAGGCAGAAGAGCAGTGAGGACTTGGGGGCAACAATGACTGGGAGGAAAGCTTTGGGTGCTGGGGCTTTCTGCAACTCCCCTGCATTCCAATTGCATTTGTTTTGTGTTTTCCATCAGTTTTTCACCAGCTACAAAGGCCAAAATCCTGCTCTGGGCTTGACTGAGGTTGTCAGCTTGTGTTTATTATGGGTTGGGCTGGGTCTGAGCTCTACCAGGCACAGAAGAGCAAGGTGGAAGCACATCTCTTGGGAAGATGGGATGCACCAGGGGAGCCTAATTGGCTTGATGAGGTTCTAAAGCCAACCTTCCATCTGGTGAAGAGGAAAAGAGGTTCCCCAGGCTCTACTGGGGGAAGAGGATGCTCTGGTGCTGGAGTGTTTGCAGTATAGTGTGGACTGAGAGCTGGTACCAGAGCAAAGAGAGGACAAATTGGCCCCAAACCACCCAGCAGCTCCTGCCATCAGGATGCAAAGAGATCCTGGGCAAGTTGGGGCAGTCAGTGCTGTTCTCAGGGGATTTAGGCATTGATGGTGGTAATGAGAAGTTTCAGTTAGCTTTATGCAAACTGCGAGAGCATCTTTGCTTAGTCAGTGCCCTCTAAATGGTGTTTTGTTTTGGTTTCTTTTTTTTCCTGGGAGGAAAATTATTTGGAGCTCCACCCTGCCTTAATAAAGATGTGTAACCCCATGAGTTGGCTCCTGCCCCATGCATGCAAGAAGAGAGCTGTGCCTTGGAGAGAGGTTTGGTGCTTTGGAGGGAGGTTTGTAAGCTCCTTGCACGCAGAATGTCGGTAGATTGAGGGATATGGGAGAGCACTAATGGGAGGGCTTTGTCAGGGGATGTGGGGCTTGGACCCGCCTGTCAGACCCCTGTAAGTGTTGGCATTTGAGATCCTGGAGCAAAGACAGAACCAACCCTCCTTCTCCCCAAAAAGAAGTCACTGGGTAACTGAATTGCTCTGAAGATTTATTGGAGATGCAAGACTGTAACTGGGATGAAAGCCATTGACAAGCATTGCGGACAAAATGTGAAGTCATTAGAAATAAATCACCGCATCCTCTCCCCTTCCCAGACCTCAGATAGTATAAATGCATTTACACCAGCAGCTCTGCTTAATAGGTACTGGCAAATTGAAAAGGTGATTGATGCCGATGCCAGGTGTTTAAGGCTGGGTCTGGATCCCTTGAGCACGACAGCAGAGGACTTTTGTGACCTGTGGCCAGGATTATTGATGGATCAGCCCCTGTCACTTTTGACAGTGGGCATAGGCCCCAAGATCCTTAATTTAAGATGGTATTTATGGCATCAGATGAACTGGACCATTACAAATCTTGAAGAAAAAGGGAAAGTCAAGGATTGGTTTCCAAACAGGTAATGTAAATAAAAAGCAAACTGCCTCCAAACAGCAACAGCCATTGAAATCCACTCCTTGGGATGTGAAATTGGTATGTGTAGGGAAACTAGGCATTTTTTGGTGAGTTCTGCTGGTGGCAGAGGTGTATCTGTAAATCAGGATGGCTGATATAACTAGGTTATAGCAATAGGTTATGTATGGGAGCTGCTAACACAAGAGGGCTGAATGAAGGCCTAATTAGAAGCTCATGGGTGGCAACTGTTCTGCCCTACACCTCATCCTGATCCTTCAGTCTGTAGGAACAGAAAGAGAAGGAATTACACCAAGGGCCTCTTACGTGAATTGCATGTAAGAAGGGGATTGTGAAGAAGTTTTGGGGTTTGCTCTTAGAATTCCCTAGCAGAAACAGCAAATCTCTTCGACAGAAATACCCCTCTTTGCCTGTTGTATCCCTCTGCATGGAAAATAGGTGTGCAGTGTAGGGCAGCTGGGTGCGTGTGCTCCTGCAGCAGCCAGGCTCTTGCTGTGTGTAGGCAGAAGGGTGTGCATTGTGCTTCGTTTCCAGCCTTGCCATTCATCTGCAGCTCTTTACACAGTTGACTTGCCCACGGACACAACCTTCATGTGGGTGCTCCCACTCCTAATGCGTGAGCTTCCGTTGGCCGACCCAGCAAAGCTGGGTTCTGGGCTGTAGGCGAGACCTCCTTGGGAATGGCAGACAGCTGTGGAAGGCAAAGCTGAGTTTCAGCTTAGGGAATTGCTGGGAGAAAAGGCAGGAGATGCCCAAGCTTGGAAGAAGTTTTATGCTCCAACTTACAGATGTTGACAGGGATGCCTCCTTCTGCACAGAGCCTGTAGAGGGAAGGTTGCACTTGGTTATGTGTGTTCACATGCAGAGCCCTGTGAGCCTTAAACGTTTGCAGGCAGCAGGACAGCCTCTGTTTGCACCAATGGAGGTGTGGTGGGACTGATGGGAAGAGCTGATCTGTGAGGTGGATTTACCACAGGGCAGCTCTGAAAAGCACTGCCCAGTTGGTTTTCCCATGCTGGCACATGGATCTGAAGGGTCTTGTGTTGGTATCTGCCACCCACCTGCTCTCCTCACCCTCCAGCAGCTTTCTGTAGGTTGTGATCTCGATGTCCAGAGCCAGCTTGATGTTCATCAGCTCCTGGAACTCCCACAGCTGCCGGGCCAGGTCCTGCTTCGCCTTCTGCAGAGCCGCCTGCAGCTTGGTGAGTTTGCTCTTTGCATCCTTGATGGACGTTTCCTTGTGCTGCTCAGCATCAGCCATGGCCATTTCCAGTTTGCAGCACTACAAAGATGTGGTCAGCCTTAAACGTCTCTTGGTATTTGTAAATGTGACATGTTTGGAACAACAATTCAGCATCACTCTGCCCTGATGGTTCCAGCAGACCTGCTGGTACTCACCTGCTCCTTGGCACTCCTGACTTCTCCACTCAGTTTCTTGACCACCCGTGTCAGCTCGGCCGCCTCTCTTTTCTTCTCTTGCAGACTATCAGCATTTCTGCCTGCAGTAACTCGCAGCTCCTCGAACTGCAAAAGCCCCAAAGATGTGGGTTGTGCATTCCCAAAAGCACGTGCTTTGAGTTAAATCAGAGTAACTCTGGGTTTTCAGAGGAAAGATGCACCCACACCCTCCTCCTGGCTGCTTTTCTCACCTTGCCTTTACACCAGGCTTCAGTTTCTGCCCTGCTCCTGCAGGCAGTGTCCTCATAGTGAGCCTTGATGTTGGCAACAACGCCATCCAGATCAGGATCCCGGCTGTTGTCCATCTGCACAACCACTGCCGTGTCTGAGATGTGGACCTGCAGCTGGTGGCTCTCCTGGAGGTGACAATGAGATGCTGGCACTGCTGTGGTCCCATCCAACCCCATTCGTACTCTTGCTCCCCGCTTTTCAGTGACCACACAGGTGGATTCTTGCTCCCCGTTCACCATAAGGGCTGACCATTGCCCCACATTACCCATTCTTCCCCTGTCCTTCAGGATAGACCTCCCAGATCTGCCTGAGAATCGCAGAGCTGAAGCAACGGGGAGCTGCTTACCTCCTCATAGAGCAACCTGAGGAAGTCAAACTCTCCTTCCATCCTTCCCACCTTGGCCCCCAGCTCTGCTTTGCTTAAGAAAAAGCAGTCCACATCCTGAAGTGGCAGTGGGGAGAGAAGAAGGAAGCTGATTAGTGGAAGCTGATTAGTGAGAGCCGACTCAGGGCTGCCGTTGGGGTGGGGGACTGGGTGCAGGTAGCGTGGCTGCACGCCAGCTCCCACTTGCACAACTACTGCTGGTCTGAGTTCAAGCACACCTGAGCACCACCTCCTGCTGGTACTTGTTCTGTGCAATGCTTTGGGGGAAAGAAATCACTGCCTGCATGCACCCCAAAGACCTGGACACAACAAGAGGGTTCAAACGGCCTTTGCTCACCTTCTTCAGGGCAATGAACTCCTTCTCAGTGCAGCTCCGTTGGCTGCATTCGTCCTCATACCTGCGTGGGAAAATGGGAGACTTCAAGCTCAGCGCAATTACATCTTTCTTTGGGATTCTGCAGGCTTACTTCAAGAAATGGAACCCCTCCTATTTTTTTTCCCCCCTTTTCCCCAGATGATATTTGGGGATGTTTTGTTCTGTTTCATAGCCCATGGAAAAGCACGCTTGCTTTCACAGAGGTTTTGGTGTTCTTACATATTTGCAGCAGAGAACAGAGGAACACTTGAAATTGCTGCAAGTGTTAATTCCTTGAGTTAGGAAAGAATGAGAGAATCTAGAAGAGATGTGTCCTCTGTTTGGTCCACTGTAAACTGTGACATGGTTTTATGATCCTGTTCTCTGGGGACAATTTATTATATCAGAATGTTCTCACTTACATTTTCTTGTTGGTTTCCACAGCCTCTTGGGCTGCTTTCAGGCATGTTTCTAACTGGGCTCTGTTGCACCCCAGCGCTTCCAGCTGCTTCTTCAAGTTCCCGATGCAAGCCTCCAACATGGGCACGATGGTGTTCCTGCAATGTTTCTGACCCTGCAGAAAGTTCCACTTGGTCTCCAGCACCTCGTTCTGCTGCTCCAGTAATCGCACCTGAATCCCAGAGAGCAAAATAGGAAATGAGATGAGGGTTAAGTGGTTGTGAGAGGTGATGTCCACGCAACAGCCATAAAATGCAGCTCTTGGTACACCTGAATGCAATGTTTCCTACTCTACTGTTCTTTTGTGCATATGGTTTTTGTGGGTAAGCCTTGTGGAAATCAAACTCATAACACTTCTAGAAAAGAACACCTTGGTGCTCAACTGACATTCTAAAGTTATCCTCAGTGTCTAAAACAGAGCTGTATAACCCAGATTCCTTGCCCTTTCCGTGCTAGATCTCCCAGGGCCTTGAGCTGGGGAGGGTTTCTCTGCTCACCTTTTCAATGAAAGAAGCAAATTTGTTGTTGAGGGTCTTGATCTGCTCCTTTTCTTGGTACTTCACGGTCTGCACGTTGGGGTCGAGCTCCAGTTGGAGTGGTTGTAGCAGTTTCTCATTGACAGTGATGGGTACAATGGTGCACAGCCCAGAGGATCCACCAACCCTGTAACCAAAGCCAGCACCTCTGCAGCCAAATCCAGCTCCAGCAGCACCAAAACCATATCCACATCTTGTAGGAGGACACCTTCCTACGTCTATTCTGGGTCTGGAAGATGCTACACCGCTGAGGCTCCTGGTGCTGAAGGAACCCAACCCACGTTGGCGACACAAGACTCTACCAAAGCTTTGCCCACTCCTGGGAAGAGCAAGAGAGGATGAGCTGAAATTGCCAATGCGAGCAACGTTGGTGCCATAGGAGCAGGACATGGCTGCTGGTGAGGAGGGCTGGGTGCAGGTGGTGTGCTGGGCCCCAGTGCAGTTCCCTCTGCCTCCTGTGCAGCACCTTCTTCCTTTTATTTGTGGAAAACGGGGCGAGGCTGCATGAAACTTCCACAAGATGTTTACGATGCAGAGTAGGAGCTGCTTAGCATACGTTGTGCTCACCAATGGAGAAAGCAGATTTGCCCCATAACGCAATGGAGGACTGCTGTTAAGTCAGTGGGGTCATATTGAAGTCTTGTGTAATCACAGTGAAAATCATGGCTTGTGCTGGTGCTCCTTGTTTTCAGGAATGTAAAAGATTTTGCCTTGTTATGGGTTGGATAAAGATGTCAAGTTCTCACTTATCAAAGTGCTTCCCTTGCTTTACATTTTGCTGCTACATCAGCTTGTGAGTAAGCGCTCTGAGGGAGAATGTGGCTGGATATTAGGAATTATTTCTTCTCTGGAAGAGCGGTGATGCATTGGCGCAGGCTGCCCAGGGTGGTGGGGGGGTCACCATCCCTGGAGGGGTTCAAGAACCATAGAGATGTGGCACTTGGGGACATGGTCAGTGGGCATGGTGGTGTGGGTTGGGGTTGGGCTGGGAGGTCTTGGAGGTCTTTTCCAACCTGAATGAGTCTACGACACAACCAGATGTTCAATAAATAGCATCAGTACTAAAGGTGAATTCATTGAGAGCTAGCAAATAAAGCCTTGTGTGCAGGTTAGCGATAGAAGACAGCTTCGTGTTGGCTTTGCCTATGGAAAGGCAACATCTTTGAAGGCAAACGTCACTGGGACCAGGTCTATTTGTCAAGGGTTTTTGTCTGTATATTACTGGTGAGAGTGTTTTCCATCGTAACATTTTGTGGGGTATCAGTTGAAACAGAGACCTGCATTTGGAACATGGTGGCTCTTGTGGATGTTCCAAATTGGCCAAATTCTCCGAAAAAAAAATGCTGTCTCCTTGTCCCTCAGCTCTAAGGCTCCTTCGTTGCCTGGGGCTTCACTCCTTTGCCTCCCACGTTGGGTGAGTGCCCTCACTGAGGCATCGGGGCTCCATTCCTCCCACCTTTGATATTCACATGTGTGTGTCCACGGCTTGGAGAGATGGGAACGGCATTGGAGCCCGCGTCGCTGTGTGGGAGGGCAGCATGCTTTCTAGGGGCAGGGTGGAAGTTCCAAGCTAATGGCTGGGTTTTGTTTACTGCATTTTTCCCCTTCCTTGTTCAGTGGTTGATTGCAAGCCCAAATTAGTAGCCTCACTGGACTCCTCGGCTCCAGGGCCCTCAAAGACTTTCCAGGGATGGTGCATGAGAGGATGGAGCAAATTTGGTGATTCCACAGTGTCCTTCATCCTCCTGTGCCAGGTCACCTTGTTCCAGTTTGGGCTCTGGCTGCATTTCATGGCTCAGTGAGTGCATCTCTTCCTCCCACATCCTCTAAATGCCATTTTTTCCTTCATTTTGCGAAACACTTTCTCATGTTATTGAGGCAAGTAACACTGAGTGCGACTGTACAGCACTTTTGGACAGAAATTTGAGGGGAAGGGTTGTAAGGGGTGGGTGGCTATGCAGTGTTCCTATCCCAAAAGGAGAGGGGTCCCTGAATGAATCTTCCGATCCTCTGGTTCAATGGGGCAAAGCAGCAGAGCATGATGTTGGACTCCAAGAAAACCCACCAAGATGTTTTGAGCTAGCTCAGTTAAACCAAATAGTGACAATTGTCTTGAGCAGGATTGGAGTAGTATGCTTGGGTGAGTGGTGAAAATGGAAAAAGTGTGTGGGGGGGGGGGCATGCAGTCACCCCCCCCCCCCCCCCCCCCTTTTTTTTTTTTTTTTTTTTTTTGAGTATTTTGATCTGCAGGAGGCTGTAGAGGATGCACCTTGGATATTGGAGCTCTTTCCTACTCGCAGCACCGTGCAGTGGTACAAGCAGCATCTGCAGTGATGGTGCTCTTGTCCCCGGTGCCTCCTGTGGTTACACTTACAGAGGTGGTGGCTGTAAAAGGAGCTGATGGGCTTGGGTGCATTGCTGATTCCCCCATGTAAACCTCCTGCAGGCTGGACCAGCATCCACAGAGCGTTTTGCTCTCTACTTTGGATTATCAGCAAGTTCAAGTGCAGCTGATGTGTGTTTCATCAGCCCGTGGATGTCCCTGTTCATTGCAGGGGAGTTGGGCTGGATGGCCTTTAAAGGTCCCTTCCAGCTCAAATGGTTCTGTGATTCTATGATCAAAACGACCTTAATTGCTCCCTTTCTCTCGTGGAGGAGTTGGAAATCCACAGCCTGGGAATTACCACTGGCACATTACTGAACTTGAGTCATCCTTCCCTGGGCTTTGGTGTTTTCAAGTTCTCCAGTTGCCTCTGAATCACCCAATTCAGCTCCGTAATTTTGGGTTTTTGTGTTACGCAAGCTATGTTTGCCAGCAGCTTCTCTCAGTTCCTCATACTCTGGAGAGAGAAAACGCAAGGAAAATAAATACCAGATGTCAGTGATGAGAACTGCTGTGGGGTGCTGGGGTTGCAGTCCCCAGTCTCAAGCTATAAGGCTGAGATCTTTAACACTGGTGTCACAGCTGACTCATTTACACCATAGCAGCTATGTGTTAGCAGAGAATGTCCCAAACAACACATGGCTGGGACAACAGACCTTTAAAGAGCATCTTCAGCCCAACTTGGGAAATCAGAAGAAGCAAAAGTAGGGCATAAATCCTTCTGTGAATGTTCCTTGTTGTTGTAAGACTCTGTCAGCCCAGCTTCTTTTAGCAGTGTCCAGAAGCTTTGGACATCCAAAAGCTTTGGATGACAGCAGTGCTGCCACTCATCTCCAGGCTTTGTCTTCATACATTATTTGAAAATTCCTACAGATTTGCCCACAGTGGGTGCCTGGATCCGAGTGATTCCCTGGGAGCAGCAGCAAGGTGAGCAATTGTCCATTTCTATTGCAGAAACAGATTCCTTAGGATCTTGCCCATGCAATGCAACAGTAGTGCCTTTGAAATGTGGAGGACTGGTCTGATGTATGCACGGAACGCAAAAAATCTTCCTGACCTTAAGTGATGGGCTGTAAGAGCTGAACTCTGTGGGCCTCCCCAAGAGGCATGAGTTGGAGGAAGAGTAAAGTCGTTATTCTGCTTATGGGCTCCTCTGGAGGCTGACTATGGGTGAGGGACTCCACCTCAGCTTCCAGCTCAGCTTTGCTCATGGAGACACTATCCGTGTCCCCAAGCACATCAGAAGGGTTTATGCAATGAAGGAGCATTCTGCTTAATGCCACATGCAATAGGATTACAGCTCCCAGCACTGCTCCTTTCAAGGACAAGAGTTTTACTGTGTTATTAAATGGATTTCCTCTCTCATCCTCTTAGGCACAAGAGGAACACTGCTGGGCAGAGCAGAGAAGGGTTTGACAAGCTGGGGTACACAAATGTCCCAAAGGGCCACATTGAGCTGCAAACAACAGACGAAGGTGGGATTCAACTCTTTTAATTAAATCTTCCCTAAAGTTGGCCTGCAGGTCCCTCTAGAGTCTCTGGAGAGCGAGATGCATTCTCACTGCTGTCTCTCCAGCAATTTTCACTGCTGTTCCTACCGAACACCAAAGAAGCGTTTGAGTTGGTCTGAAATGCCCTCAGCTCTTGGAGCAGAACACACTCCTTTCCTGCACACCTTTCCTCTCCTTGCCTGTGAGGAGAAGAGAAAACATAATTTTGCTCCTCTTTATTCAACCTAGGCAAGAATTTGATCTCTTCCTCTTGCCTCATCTCCAAATGCCCAACCCCAGCATGGACACAGCTGCCAACACAAATCATACAGGTGGACATCACTGGTGGCGTTGCATCTTGTGCAACTCTGCCGACTTAAAATGAACCAGATCCATTCCAGCTCTAGCTTTGGAGCTTTTATTTTCAAACGAACTTCGTTTTCCTTGTATTTATCAGTCTTTCACGATCCCTTGCATATTGCTCAGTTCTGTTGCCAGCTTGGCTCTTTCCTTTCCCAGAACATCCTGCTGCCTCTTCCAGTTGGCAATAGAAGTTCCCAATGTTAGCTCAGCGTTGCTGTTGTAACACCTCTGCTCCCACAGAAATCCCCATGTGGTCTCCAGCCCCTTGTTGCACTGCTCCAGCAGTGGGACCTGAAATTCAAAGTGTAAAGATTTGTTACCTGTGATACAGAAGGGGACAGTTACAGTCCCAGAAGTGGCAAACTGAGAGATGAAATCGGTATTGTTCAGAATAGTAGTGGGTGAATGCAGAAAGCAGACAGCCGAAATCTGTCAAGTGACATCTCCTTGTGAGAAGGCTGTTCTGAAAAATGTCTCTGCTGTTATATGAAAAGCCCTAAGTCACTCATAACTGAGATGGGATAAAGCAGGGGTAATTCTGCTTCAGGTTAGGATTCAAAGGATGTAAAAAAATGAAGCTTAAAGAACCAACTTGTCTGCAGGTAGCAAAACTGGTTCCATCTCCATCCTGAGCTTCTTGGGGCTTGATGGGGAGCTTGAGCTTGATGGGGATCTGGGCAATGGATGTGCAGACCCCCTGGGGTCCATGGACCCCATAACCAAAGCCAGTGCCTCCATAGCCAAACCCCGTGCCAGAGGAGCCATGGCCATATCTCTGCATTGCCACCTAGGCTCATGCTGCTGACACACCTCAGTCCTGGGCACCCTCTGCCACCAGTTCCATGGCAGAAGAATCAGTGGAGGATCTACTCCTGCTCCTGAGGATCCCAGCAGAGCAGGAGCTGAAACTCCTCCTGCTTTAGGTGGGGTTGGCAAAGCCATCGTGGCTGCCTTGAAGGGGAGCGAAGGTGGAGGGAGGAGTAGGCAATGCACGAAAGATGGCCTTGCTGGAAACTCCGGAATGAGGAGCAGAGCTTTCACCCTCTTTTCTCCCCCCAAAATGGGCTTTTGCTGCACAACCATCCCCAAATGGTCATTTTAAATCACATTCATGAGCTTGGGGTATCTGGTAATATCCCACTCTTCTTCTTTGC